AAAGCCTTTCTCGCCCACAAGCCAAATCTAACACCCTCTTTCGAAAAGGTTACTTGTTGTACGTTACGCAAGGTTTAAAATTTTGGAGCGACAGAGTCGCAATCTTCCAAACCCAACAACATATGTTATTAAATATGTTATTACGTTCAAACAGTCGATCTTTGATTTAATCATATAAAAACAATTTTATATATAAATATGCGTAATCGGTATACGTAATTGATATACGTAGTTTACTTTTAATTGATAACTTTTAGATTACTTAAACTATGTAAGGGTTAAATCTTAGCTATTGATTACATAATTATTACATTGCCCATCCTAATCAGAAGCCCGTATTCGCACAAAACGTTTCACTCTCTGTATAACCATACACTTCGTTTCACTCCATTCATGGTAAATATACAGGACTGGAATAAGTGGGAGGTGGACGCATTACACGTCCAAATGAGTCACGTGGTTCTCGTGGTTCATCCTTTATATACAATCCACACAAAAGCAATTCAATAGTGTTTTTATATTCTTTTCTTAACCATAAAAATTCTATTCTTATATTTTCTAAATTATTATTTAAAAAAAGATTTGGTTTTGATGGATCATTAAAAGGTTTTTTCTTAATTCTACCCATAAAATAATAAAAACCTAATAAAGGTATACTAATAATATTGAGTATTAAAACTATAATAAAAATCATAGTATTATAAATATTACGTTCCGTTCTCATTTTTTCCAATGACTCGAAAAAAAAATCTAACGTATGTTCGAATAAACCTGTTATTTTTCTGCCTATGGTATAAAAAAACCATATTAACCCAATTACTATAACACTTAATGCCAATTGAGAAATTCTTGTATCAAAATCAATTTTTGGAGAGTCAATATTGGTTATAACTGAAACAAACGCAATACCAATCATATAAGCAGATGCTAAAATCATAAAACTCAAACCAACCACTTTTTCTTTAATTATTTGATCATTTAGATAATTTAAAAATTTTATAAATTCTAATATTGGACCATCAGGTAGATCCTTTAAAAGTTCATCAGGTATACTTAAATCTCTAGGTTTAAATTCATTTTCACGGATTGCCTTATTTTGATTATTTTCTTTGGTATTATTTATGAAGGTTTTTCCGATAGAAAATATAAAAGTTATAATTCCACTTAAGCCTGCGATGCTAGATGTTGTAATAGATCCGAGTTTTCCAATTAATTTATTTTTTTCTGCCCATAATATTATTGATCCAATAATAATAGTCAAAATTGCTCCAGATATATGTACTCCTAGTAACGTACTTCTATTATTTAAATTTCTTAAAATATTCTCATACTCGTCTTTTAATCTTAATATATGATATTTTTTTTCTTGGAGTTTAGCGATATGGTTACTCATACTAATAATAAATATTAATAAAATCTTTCTAAGATTAATTAAAATTTTAATATTTTACGAACCCGAAAGATTTTAAGCCCAAAGAAAATTTTGATTAAAGAAAAAGCTGAACGCATGAAAAACTCCTTTATATAAATTATAACAAAAAAAAAAATTCTAGATTTGTAAATAAAAATGGTGTAGCGGTAGTACTACATCCAATTTTTTTGATTTTATGCACGACACCCTTAATGTATCACAGCCAAACCTAGTTTTTCTTATTGACTTAAATTTAATTGGTACTGCTTCACAACACAAACAACTTCAAGCCTTTAATGCTTCACAGTAAAAGAAAGCTAAAAACCAATTAATATTTTTGAGATATAGTAATTAAACTCAAATTTAATTGGTATTATTTGTTTTATAGCACAAGCTAGAACTTTAAAGTGATCATGCATGACGTCTACTTAAAATGTGAAAACTAGAAAAAAACCTTGTCTTTAACCAATTGAGTTTATCAATCTCAAATTTAATTGGTACTGCTTCAAAGCACAAACAACTTCTTGTACTACGACCTTAATATTTCACTAGTTATGTAATATAATTATAGTTGTGCTGATCACATAGGTGTTGAGGCTTGAGAACTCATGATCTTTCGATTCATCGGCAGTCAGGAATGTAAATCTTGTATTTTATTAGCCACATCAATATTACCATTTAATTCAAACAAATTCGGATATGATTAACAAAATTTAGTCTAGGAAAAAAAAAAAAAGAAGAAAATTATCGGTATTACTCAGTTGAATAGTTCTAATTCTTACAGCATGAAGACCTGTTTACAACCAGTTACTCATAAATTTTACACTTGTAACCAGTATCGGTATGATTGTAATCATTTAACGTTAACGTTAATAGTGTGAGCTGTGGAAACGTGATCCTGGAAGCACGTGGCATGGGATGATCGATGTGGCGCAGTAACGCAATTAACGGTGACACGAGCGAAACGGCGAGTCAGTCGCTTGTCGATCGAATACGTCGTGTAACCTACGAACGGCTTAGTCG